TTCATTATGCTAGCAGGAAAACATTTTGTGGTCACATCATATTTTAATTCTCATTACGAAAGTACATTTATAAAAGTTGTGATTTCCTTTCAATTGCGATAAATTTGACATAAATGTGCAACATGTTTTGTTTCATTTGCCAAATTATGCATGTCAAATTCAGACATTTGTCTAAGATATTTGCACGCCACGCATGTTGTTTCACTACAAATTTTATTCCTCACCAATTCTCTTAAGTAGATAGACTGTTTTAAATTTTCATCTGAATAAGGTAAGTTAAATCTTGTTAATTAAGCCATGGCAATGTTTTTAAAATAATCTTAAATTAATCTCAAAATGAATGTTAACAGCAAGGGAAGAGTTTAAATGTTAATGCAGATCACCAGTGAAAATAAAATTATATATTTGTACAATTGAATATTTTTGGCATGCTTTTCTATCATTATTGAGAACTGAGCAATGTTTTGATTTAACTCTGGAGTTGGATTGTGCTGTCCCCATCATAAGTGCTACATTACAAAACTGCCAAGAATTTGATGATTTGAGAATTTTGGACCTTTGGTCAACTTTAGGAGAACAGAATCTTCTTGGACTTTTTAAAGAGTATCTGCTGTGTCCTTAGCTTGAATAGTTTTTTTAAAACTTCATTCAGAGAATGTGAACTTTGCTGGCTGGGCTAGCATTTTTTGGCTAATCCTTAATTGTCCCTGAGAATATGGTGATTAGCTACTGCCTTGAAATGCTGCCATCCATCTTTTATGTAGATATGGCCTCAGTTCTTTATAGTGGGGACTCGGGGATCTTAACCCAGTGACACTGAACGAATGGCAATATATCCACTTCAGGATGATTAGTGGCTTGGAGAGGAGCGCGCAGGTCAAGGGGTTCCTATGTATCTGCTGCCCTTATCCTTCTAGGTCATGTTTGGAAGGTGCTGCTGTCTAAGGAGTTCTGGTAAATTTTGACAGTGCATCTTGTAGATGGTAAACACTGCTAATAACTATGCATCGGTGGTGGAGGGAGTCAATTTCTATGGATCTGGTGTCAATCAAGCAGACTCCTTTGTTCTAGACGGTATCAAGCTTCTTGAATGATTTGGAGCTGTACTATCTAGGCAAGTGGAGAGTGTTCCATCACACTCCAGACTTGTACTTGGTGGTGGTGGTGGAAAAACTTTGGGGAGTTGGAAGGTGAGTTACTTGCTGCTTACTGAGATATCTAACAAAGCAAACATTTATTTACACTATCTGTTGATTGCAGTAAGCTTGTTACCATTGTTTTTCAGTCAATCTGTTGAAATCCAGAAGAAAGAAAGACCACTTAAAGCAATAATACTAATTTACAATTTTTGGTTATTTTGGCTGTGGGGATGGTAGCGTGAGTGCACAAATTTTTAAATGGAAGATTTTAAATGGAATAGTGGTAGTACATATTCATGAAGACAGATTGTGAATGAGAAAATGAAGAGGATAATAACACAGAAATTGGAATACCTTCTGTAGACTCATGTATTGTTCACATGCACAAAGATCAATGAAGATTAGGCTCGGAAATTGCCAAGATTAGCAGAGCCAGGTGGAGATAAATTTAAAGAATTGATAATTTCTCTGTAAGGAATACCTCCTATTAGTGCATTAAATGGAAGTTTGATCTTTCTTTGTAGTCCGGTCATAAAAAAAGATCAAATTTGTTGAACCTTTGAAGAATGCTGGTTTAACAACTTGGCAAATCATCAGTTTTTCTTTCTTTTTCTTCAGTATAACACCATTTCCTTTTGGATAAGCTTCAAGTTTACTGCAATCAGATCTATGAGAATTGATTTTTGTAAATAAAATGACATACTTGCAACTAATTACTAGTCAATTTATACCAAGTTAATTTTGAAATCCAAAGTATTTCTGGCATTTTAACAATACCTTTTCTCCTGTTAACTGTAGTTGATAACAAATCTTGGTGTACAGCCATATTGAAATAAACCCTAGACTCAGTAGTCATATTCCAAGGGGTATGCATCTCTTTCCCTTTACTTTATATATTACTAAACTGTTAGAACAATGATTTTGAAATGTAAAGAAGAACAAAATTTCATGTATTCTCCGATCTACATCTTCAATGCATTAAAATTTAAATTTTCATACTCATCAAATTATTGCTATGCTCAACCTTATCTCTGCAATGTTCTCCTTTCCCAAGTCAGTGGTGTCTTCTTGACATTCCTGTCTGTAAATCCCTGCGTTGTCCAGCTATTAACAGCAAAGGCCACAATGACCCTGACTTACTCTTCTGTGAAATTTTCTTCCATCTCCTCAAAATGTCATTTGACCAAGCTATCTGTCCTCCCCTAACTTCTTCCCCAGGTTTGCTATTCAATTTCTTTGTCAATTTGTGAAGTGCTTTGGGGTATTCTTTACTTAAAATTTATAATAGAGTAGTATTTATTGTAATGTAACTTTGTCAATCGAGTAGCAATTCTATAAGATAACAATGTCCATCAGTTACTAATATCAATTTAGATGAAGTATTTTAATGAATTGAGAATTATGGCTATTAATGTTTTATTGTCATGAGCCGCCATATTGAATATAAATACCCTTCATGGCAAAATAAGAAATAAATATGGCTATTTTATCTACAAATACTATGTTCTTGTGTAATGATTTTATAAGTTCGCTCACATTTAAATTTAAAACGAAACTAATAATTAATATTAGGCTGTTGTTACTTTGGCTTGTAATTACGTTCACTGCCCTAACTTCTGCATAACTTTTTCCCCCAGTGGGTTTCCTACATAAAATCCGTTTATAATTTATGCGGAGTAAACTAGTTCGCGAAATTTGCAATGTGCTAACGTTCACGGCGGACATTTTAGCAACATACGTATTCAATAGAGTATAGGTCCCTTTTATATTCTCCTAATAACTGCAGACAACTTGACAATAGGAAAGTGGAAAGACCTTCCTCGGCACAGGGAATCTCTCTGAGATAAGGGGCTTGTACCCATTCTCACGTCCATCTAGTTCAACTGCCACTATGACTATGGTTTGACCTGCCGGTTGCCAGTAATGCACGCAGGTTTATGAGGAAGTTATGTAACAAAATTTGGGCGATCAGGAGCGAAATGAAAATACCATTTCATTCGAACAGCGATATTTTGTTGCCGAAGATAGGCTTAATTTGCTACTAAGTTTTAATTTTTGAGGGATTTTGTGGAAACCCCAAGTCGTACAAAATAGAGGGGGAATAGGTACACTGTAATGCATAATATGGATAGGACTTCGTGAACTCCCTGTGCTTTTCGATTTTGGCTGGGGAATGGAACATGAAAGCTGATTGTGTTCAGCAAGTCGCTTTCTACCGCTTTGAATGTAAATGATATGCGACGCAGCTTGACTTTGGCGGTTCCACATTGAATAGTGCTCCTTTGCTTGCAGAATATACAATAACTTATTCAGTTCGCAAGAATTGAATGAAATCGGGTCATTTCCTTGCTGATTGCGTCATTATCGCCTGCTGGTGGAGGTGCTTTCTGTCTTTTTACAATGCATTGGTGAAAGCTGTCAGAACAAACTCAGGGGGTGAGGAGATATTCCGAGTCTTTTCAGTGTTTCATATTTTAAAAGAAGCGGCGTTACTTACTCATGCGTCGCTGTAGATAAGCAGTTGATTGGGTTTTGTGCAAGGAGTCACAATGCAGAAATTTTCCAAGTCGCCTGTACTGTATAGGAATCACTGTAAATGGTACGTGCAGTGCTTCTCCAAGCCGGTCCTCTTACTTTGATTGTTAGATATTTTTGTGTGGCCTTGAATATGCAGTGGACAGTAGCTTGCATAACAAAAAAAAGTATTACCATTGCCTGGCTGTTCCGAAAAGAGTCGAACAACTTCCCTCGTTGGGCCAAGTCATGGAAATGAAGCCAATTTTTTTTTTCTGTTTCTGTTTGATTTACAGTTAATGTATTGTAATACCACTTCGGTTATTATGTTACATTTTTGTATAACTGGAGTTTTGATGGCTTTCCGATGAGACGAAATTTGTTTTAAAAACGGCGAGTAGAGTGTAGCACCTCTTTCGCCAAAGAGTTAAATGTGTGAAGAGCGAAGTGAAACTGGAGATCTGGCAATCGAACAGAGGTGAATTCCAAAACAAGTTGAACTGCTGATAATTGTTTTCTTTTGCATTAGTGTGAAGCTGAAAAGAATCTGAAACAGTCAGTCCAACGCCAGAAAGGTTCACAAAAATGCCATTTTAAAACGAAAGCCTAATCTTCCTGTAAAAACGGTTGTCATAAATCTGTACCCATCGAGCAGAGAATGCAGAATAGGCTAAGATGGCCCATTATATGTGCGGGTAACAGATGCAGGAGTTAAACAGTGTACGACTCCGGTATGTAAGGCGATTTGAAATAAATGTTGTTCTCTCGATTTCATCTTTCAATCTGACGTTTCCTGACCATAAACAGAGTTGTTTCTCACTGGCCCTTGAGGCCTGACATACTGCGTCCCTCTTGAGTTTATGCATTTTAATCTCCTGCAATGTTCAGGCTATTTTTAGCTCCCACTCCCAGGGTTCGGTTTCTGTCAACAGCAAGCCACTTTGTTGGTAAATCACATGTAAAATGAAATGCCTATCTTTCTCTGCTTCCCCAGTGTGTATGTCTGTGGCGAACGGTTGATAATGTGTTTTCAGTGACTTTGCCAATTACAAGTGCGTATTAGGATACAACTTGGAAAACATCGTGAAATTCTGACAATTTAAAGAAATGAAATATTATTGATTCCGAGGCGGCTCCATTGTTTATGATTTGAAGATTGGCTCCATGCCCAGGTAGGCGTGCGCTGCATGTAAACTTTGTGGAAAAGAAACAATCAGTTAAAAGTACCATTCTGGAGGGAGAGTGATTCTTGTCCCCACCCCGGCACCCTGCGCTGTTGGAAACAAAACTGCTTGGATTGCAACAGATACTGCAGACTGTTTGAGACTGAATCCTTTTCAATTTCAGATGGACTTTCTGGTCGAGATCAGTCGATTGAGTTGCTGACCCCTTCAAGAGTGAATCACATGCCCAGTACTGGTAAGACCAAATTTTTAATTGTGAGATTCATTTACCAAATAAAATCAAGTCACGAGCTACCTTCTAGATGTTGCCAGCCCCTAGAATGGAAACTATTTTACAATGAAGAATTGATACTGTTGGCTACTTAGCTGTGTTTTTGTTCATTCCGAAGTGTTCCTTTTTCACTCATGGGATGTGGGCGTTACTGGTTGGCCATAATTTATTCCCCGTCCCCAATTAACTTTGAGAAGCTGGTATTGAGCTACCTTCCTGAAACCCTGCAGTCGACCTGCTGTGGGTTGAGCACCATGCCCTTAGGGAGGGGATTTCAGGATTTTGACCCAACGAGAGTGAAGGAATATATTTCCAAGTCAGGAATTCCAGGGTTTTAATTAAGATGGCAAATGGCTTGGAGGGGAACTTGCAAGTAGTGGTGTTCCCACCTATCTTCTGCCGTTGTCCTTCTAGATGAGCAGTCGTGAATTTGGAAAATGCTGCCCAAGAATCTTTGGTGAATTTCTGCAGTGTATCTTGTAAACAGAACACACCGCTGCTACTGAGCATCCATGGTGGAGGGAGTGGATGCTAGTAGATTTAGTGTCAATCAAACGGGTGGCTTTTTCTGGATGGTGTCAAGCTTTTCTTGAGTGAGTGTTGTTGGAGCTGCACCTATCCAAGCAAATAGCAAGTACTCTTTCAGACTCCTGACTTTTACCTTGTAGGTGGTGGATAGGTTTTGGTGAGGCAGGAGGTGAATTACTCACTAGTGTTCCTAGCCTTTGACCTATTTTTGCAGCCACCATGTTTTGTGGCAAGTCCAGTTGCGTTTCTAGTTGATGGTAACCCCCAGGATGTTGATAGTTGGGGTTGGTAACACAATTGAATGTCAAGGAGCAGTGGTGAGTTGGTCATTGCCTGGCATTTATGTGATGCAAATGTTACTTGCCACTTGTCAGCCCAAGCCTGGATATTGTCTAGATCTCGTTGCATTAAAACATGGACTGCTTCTGGAACTGAGCAGTTATGAATGGTGCTGAACATTATCCAATCATTGGCAAACGTCCCCACTTCTGACCTTATGATGGAGGGAACGTTATTGATGAAGCAATGGTTGATGGTTAGGCCTAGGGCACTATCTTGAGCAACTCCTGCAGAGATGTCCAGAGCTGAGATGACTGACTTCCAACAGCCTCAGCCATCTTCCTATGTGCCAGGTATAACTCCAACCAGTAGAGAGATTGCCCATTATTTCCAGTTTTGCTGGGACTTCTTGATGTCATACTTAGTTGAATGCAGCCATAATGTCAACGGCTGTCACTCTCACCTCACCTCTGGAGTTCAGTTCTTTTGTCCATGTTTGGGCCAAAGCTGTAATGAGATCAGGAGCTGAATGACCTTGGCAAGATCCAAACTGGGTGTCACTGAGCAGGTTATTGCTAAGTAGGTGCGGGGTAGCACTGTTGTTGATATCTTCCATCACATTACTGATGATTGAGAGTAGACTGATGGGATGGTAATTGGCCAAGTTAGATTTGTCCTGCTTTTTCTATACAGGACACACCCGGAGAGTTTTCCACATCGTTGGTTAGATGGAGTCATTGAATCATACAGCATAGAAACATACCCTTCGGCTCAACTCATCCATGCCAAAAAGGTTTTCTAAACTGAACTAGTCTCATTTGCCTGCATTTGTACCAAATCCGTCAAAACCATTCCTTTCTGTGTATCTGTCCAAATGTCATTTAAATGTTGTAATTGTACCACTTCTACCACTTTCTCTGGCAGCTCCTTCCATATATGTACCACTTTGTGAAAATGTTGCCCCTCCGGGTCCTTTTTAAAATCTTTCCCCTCACCTTAAACCTATGTCTTATAGTTTTGGACTCCCCTACCCTGGGGAAAAGATTTGGCTATTTACCTTATTTATGCCCCTCATGATTTTATAAACTTCCATAAGATCACCCCTCTGCTCCCAGCCTATCTAGCTTCTCCTTATAACTCAAACCTTTCAGTCTCGGTGACATCCTTGTAAATCTTTTTCTTTTGCACCCTTGCCGATTTAATAACATCCTTCCTCTAGCAGGACAACCAGAATTGTACGCAGTACTCCAAATATGACCATACTAGTGTCTTTTAGAGCTGTAAGTGATGTCCCAATTCCTGCACTCGGTGCTCTGACCGAAGAAGGCAAGTGTGCCAAACACTGCCTTCACCACCCTGTCTACTTGTGACGCCACTTTTGAGGAACTATGTACCTCCACCCTGGGTCTCTGACAGTTCTATCCAGGGCTCTACAATTAATTGTGTAAGTCCTGTCCTGGTTTGTCTTAACAAAATGCAACACCTTATAATTATCTGCATTAAACCCCTTCTGCTATTCCTCGGCCCACTGGCACAGTTGATCAAGATCCCGTAGTACTTTTAGATAACCACCTTCACTATTCACTATACCACCAATTTTGGTGTCATCTGCAAACTTACTAACTGTGCCTCCTATCTTCTCATCTAAATTCTTTATATAAATGATGAATAACAATGGACCCAGCACCGATCCTTGACTGCTGGTCACAGGCCTTCTGTCTGAACAACAGCCCTCTACACCACCCTCTGCCTCCTCTTACCATTGAGCCAATTTTGTAATCAATTGGCTAGGTCTCCCTGGATCTCATGTGATCTAACCTTACTAACTAGTCTACCTTTGCTGATCATTGTCCAATGGCTTGCTAAAGTTCTTGCAGACAATAACTACCACACTGCCTTCATCTGTCTTCTTGGTGACCTCTTGAAAAAATCTCAATCACGTTCGTGAGATGTGACTTCCCATACACAGTCTAATCAGTCCTTGCCTTTCCAAATGCATGTAAATCCTGTCTGTCAGAATCCGCTCTCACAACTCAGCCACCTCTGATGCCAGGCTCACTGGTCTGTAATTCCCTGGCATTTCCTTGTAGCCTTCGTTAAATAATGGCACGACATTAGCCACCCTCCAGTCTTCCAGCACCTTAGTCATGGCTATCGATGATACAAGCATCTCTGCTAGGAGCCCCATAATTTCTTCCCTAGCTTCTCACAATATCCTGGGATACACTTCTTCAGGTCTCAGGGAGTTATTTACCTTTGAGTTTAAGACCTCCAACACCACCTCTTCTGTGTTGTGGACACTTTTCAAGACATCACTGCTTATTTCCCGAGCTCCCTTGCTTCCAAGTCTGTCCCCACAATAAATACTGACTCGAAATATTTGTTTAGGATCTCACCCATCTCCTGTGGTTCCACGTATAGATGTCCTCAATCTTTAAGGGACCCTATTCTTTTCCTAGGTACTCTTTTGCCCTTAATATACTTGTAGAATCTCTTTGGATTCTCCTTAACCGTAGCTGCCAAAGCTGTCTCATCCCCTTTTTGCCCTCCTCATTTCCGTCTTAAGTGTACTCCTACACCCCTTCTACCCCTCAAGCGATTCACCTGATCCCAGCTGTTTATCTCTGATACATGCCGCCCCTTTTTTTCTTGACCAGAGCCTCAATATCTCTGGTTATCCAGTGTTTCCTCCTACTGGCAGCCTTGCCCTTCACACTAACAGGAACATGCTGGCCTTGAGCTCTCATTTATCTCGCTTTTGAAAGCCTCTAACTTGACAGATGTCCCTTTGCCTGCGAGCAGCCTTCCCCAATCGTTTTTTGAAAGTTCCGTTCTAATTTCATCAAAATTGGCCTTGCCTCAATTTAGAACTTCAACTTGTGGACCAGACCTACCCTTTTCCATAACTATTTTAAAAGTTATAGAATTATGGTCACTGGCCCCAAAGTGCCACCCCGCTAACACCTCAGTCACTTGCCCTGTCTTATTTCCCAAGAAGAGGTTGAATTCCCCACTTCTGTACTAGGGCCATCTGCATATTGAATAAGAAAGTTTTCTTGAACACACTTAACAAATTCCTCCCCGTCCAACCCCTTAACAGTACCGCAGTCCCAGTTGATGTTTGGAAAGCTAAAAATCCCTTCTAATGCATGCTCCCTTTTTTTATTTCTCAGTTCCACCCATACAGCTTCACCGAATGATCCCTCAGGAGTATCCTCTCTACGATCATGTTTTCCCTAACCAAAAAACACCATTTCTCCTCCTTTCTTGCCTCTGCTTCTGCCCTTCCTATAGCATCTGTACCCTGGAACATTGAGCTGCCAGTCCTGTCTCTCCCTCAGCCATGTTTCTGTAATAGCTATGATCCACCAGTCCCATGTTCCCATCCATGCCGATGATATCCCAGTCCCATGTTCCCATCCATGCCCTGAGTTCATCTGCCTTATCTGTCAGGTTCTTGCATTGAAACAAATGCACTTTAATTCATTATTCATCCCTTGTTCCCTGCTGTACTCTTGCCCGCCTTGTCTACTTACCTTCCTTTCTTTAACTTCTGTACCAGCCTCAACCTTCTGTCTTGTCTCACTGCTGCTGAGGGTCCTACCTCCATGCTAGTTTAAAACCTCCCAAGCAGCTCTAGCAAATCTTCCTGGCAGAACATTGGTCCCCCTCCAGTTCAGTGCAACCCATTCCTCTTATACAGGTCACTTCAGCCCCAGAAGAGATCCTAATGATCCAAAAGTCTGAATCCCTGCTGCATCTGCTCAGCCACGCATTCAGCTGCCTTATCCTCCAATTCCTACTCTCTCTAGCATGCGGCATCAGGAGTAATACAGTGATTACTACCCTTGAGGTCCTGCTTTTTAACCTCCTACCTAACCCCCTATATTCCCCCTGCAGAACTTCATCCCTTTTTCTACCAATGTTGTTGGTACCAATGTGTACAACTTCCTCTGACTGCCTGTGCTCCCCTTTTGAGAGTTCGCCACAACTGCTCCATGATGTTCCAGACCCTGGCACCAGGGAGGCATCTTGGAGTCTTGCTCGCAGCTGCAGAAACGCTGGTCTTTGCCCTGACTAGAGAGTCTCCTATCTTTGAGAGGAGAAAGGTTCATTTTAAATCTGAGGACAATTTTTCACACACAGGGTGGTTCGTA